GTGCAGGAAGCAGCTGATCGATGTTTCTCTCTCATCGATGTTTCTGACTCTCTATCCCTCTCCCTTTCTCTCTGTAAAAAATCAATAAAATATATTTTAAAAAATAATAATAATAATCCTATCTAGTAAATGAGTAATATGCAAATTAACCATCACTCCCTCACTCCATCACTCTCTCACTCCGTTACAAAGATGGCGGCGGCCACAGAGCTGGCGGGAACAGGAGGCTTGCGTTGCTCCCAGCAATGGAGGAAGCCAAGCTTCCCACCTGCCCTGCCAGCCCTGAGCTCCGCTCAAGGCTACACAGTTTCAATTATACAGCGGGGCCTTGACTTACGAGTTTAATTCGTTTCCTGACGAAGCTCGTAACTCAAATTACTCGTATGTCAAATCATAAAGTGAACGAGTGAGACACGTGATGCTGGGCTGATGTTGTGGCGTTCACTGTGATGTTCACTGCGCCCACTAGCGGTGGGGTATCTGAAGCTGGCTCGTAACCCGAATTTTAGCTCGCAACTCAAAGCAAAAAATTGGCCGAGAGATAGCTCGTATCTCGAAAAACTTGTTAGTCGGGACACTCGTAAGTCAAGGCCCCACTGTAGAAGATAAATAAATCCCAGATACCTGCTTCCAACCGGTGTGGCCTCTGCTCAAGGAGGGGCTGGGAACCTGGGTTGCCAGAGGCAACCCAGAAGACCTGGGCTCCGCTCAAGGCTACAAAGTTTCAATTATAGAAGATAAATAAATCCCAGATACCTGCTTCTAGCCCGCAGGCGTGACCAGCCTGAAAATAGCCCTCAGCCCCTCACCCAGGCTGGCCAGGCACCCCAGCGGGACCCCCACCCTGATCCGGGACACCCTTTAGGGCAAACCAGCCGGCCCCCACCCGTGCACCAGGCCTCTATCCTATATAGTAAAAGGGTAATATGCAAACTGACCCTAACAGCTGAACGAATGGGAATGACTGGTCACTATGACACACACTGACCACCAGGGGGCAGACGCTCAATGCAGGAGCTGCCCTCTAGTGGTCAGTGCACTCCCACAGGGGGAGCTCTGCTCAGCCACAAGCCAGGCTGATGGCTGCCAACACAGCGGTGGTGGCGGGAGCCTCTCCTGCCTCCTCAGAAGCGCTAAGGATGTCCAACTGCAGCTTAGGTCTGCTCCCCGCTGGCAAGTGGACATCCCCCAAGGGCTCCCAGACTGCGAGAGGGCACAGGCCGGGCTGAGGGACCCCCCCAAGTGCACAAAGTTTTGCGTACCGGGCCTCTAGTAATACTAATAAACCACAAATATTTCAAGCACCAAGTGCATTAACACTGTACCTTAAGGAGGAACTCTTCATCTTAATCAAAACAGTCAGATATCTGTTTATCACTTCTACAGGCTGCCTTTAGCATATTATCCAAAGTTTTCGGAACTAACTCTGGACCTTAACTAACTGATGTAAAGTTTTTAGATCTTCAAATATGCTATTATCCATTATGTACAAAGTGCTACACTTCTGTCAAAAATCAGAAGGCTTTGCCTGGTTAGCATAGTTCAGTGGTTGAGCACTGACCTATGAATCAGGAGGTCACGGTTCGATTCCCAGTCAAGGCACATGCCTGGGTTACAGGCTCAAACCCCAGTGTGGGGCATGCAGGAGGCAGTCAATCAATGATGATTCCTCATCATTGGTGTTTCTATCTCTCTCTCTCTTCCTTCCTCTCTGAAATCAATAAAAATATGTTAAAAAAATAAAACAAAAAAATATCAATCCAATGTTAATATACGAAGAAGATAAGTTTTTTTCAAGATAGAAACACTTCCAAAGAGCAAATGTCTTGAAAACAAACAAACAAGAGACCAAGATGGCGGCATAGGTAAACACCGGAGACTGCTGCCGCAAACAACCACTTCAAAAATACAACTAAAAGATGGAACGGACATCACCCAGAACCACAGGAAGGCTGGCTGAGGGGCTGAGGAGCAACTAGAAGGAAAGACAACAGCATACCGAGGCTCAGAGGAGGCGCAGTGTGGAAAATACTCAGGTACAGAGGTACAGAGGCAAAGCAGGCTGGTGGCTGAGAGCGCGGTTGTCGTTTTCGGTCAGGGGGGAGTCTCAGACTCTGAGCTCCAGATACGCGCGAATCGCTGGGGACTC